CAGTATTAAAACAATTAAAGACCTGAAATATTTCAGTTGGTGTGCAATGAATCTGAAATATATGAAAGTTTCATTTTTATCATTATATTATGGAAAATAATGACCTTTATCACAATATGCTAATTTTTTGAGAAGGACCTGTATATACATATACATATATACACATATATATATATATACATATACATATATATATATATACATATACATATATATATATATACATATACTTATATATATATACATATACTTATACATATATATACACATATATATATATATACACGTAAATATATATATACATACATATATACATATACATAAACACATACATATACATATATGTACATATACATATATACATATACATATATACACATATACATATATACACATACATATATACACATATACATATATACACATACATATATACACATATACATATATACATACATATATATATACATATACATATATATATACATATACATATATACATATATATACATATACATATATACATATATATACATATACATATATACATATACATATATATATACATATACATATATATATACATATATACATATACATATATACATATACATATATATATACATATTTATACATATACATATTTATACATATACATATATACATATACATATATATATATATACATATACATAGATATAGATATAGATCTGGGAATTATGAAAGTCTGTCCTGGATGATCTCACGACTCTGGAGGTTTAGCTGTTCTTACGGAGACGCTGAAAAGTGGCTCGAAGTGGAACTTTACGCCGGAACTGAATTACCAACAACATTATGGAATTATCATCAACACAATGGAATTACCAAGAACATTGTGGAATTACCTTTGACTTTGTTTTCCTTGCTGGATTACTTTTGACTTTTGTTTTCCTTGCTGGATTACATCGAGCTCAAGGACATTCGAAGGCGTAAGTTCATGTTTGGAACTCATCCCCATGGACAGGCGATGATTTCCAAAGGGGGGACTGTAGTGGACTAGGCCTGATGTCAAAACCTTGACTTAAGGACCGTATGGGACTGAAGCTGTCATTTCATTGATTTGCATCCAGAAATACAGGTTGACCCATCCTGAGACTTTCTTTCTTGAAAATTCAAGTGAAAGAACACTCTCTTTTTTATTATCATTACTATTTTACAAATGTTGATAATCAAAGTGTTTTAGTTCAAACCATTTTAGATGTTGCAGTGAACTAATCAATTTTTATTAACTGTGAAACAGTATAATGATTTTTAATCCTCATGCAAAGTTAGAATTCATGTTAAGGTCTGTTACAGAGTAATTATGCATTTTCTGATTTTCTGTCTGAATGAGCAGTGTAAGTTTGGTCCAAGGTTGGACTCAAACGCAGACAAGTGTCGGAACGAACTGTCTTGTTTTTACATCCTCTCAGACGTAAATAGAGAAGCTGGCACCTGTTTTTCCGCCAACTCGTCTAAATATCCCTCTCGTCTGTCTAAAAACATTTTCAATCTGTTCCATAACATTCTTGCTGTCTTCTGACTTCTTGTGACCTCTTACGTCACAAAACACACCCCTGTCTGGTCGACATTGACCAATCAGAGACTCCCAAATGAACCGGAAATAGAGCTCTTTAAAATGTCGGTACTTCCTAGTTTAAACCAGAGTCTCACAGTGTCCGGAGTGTGTCGAGCCAGTTCCTGTTGGGTCGAAGTTCCAGTTGAGTCGAGCTGAGGTTGCGGTCGAGTTCCCGTGCTGGGAAACAGGAAAATCCTGACATGACCACAGAGCTCTTCCGAGTCTTATGGGATTATAACTTTCTTCCACATCTGGGTGGAACTCTGACGGACTCCACTCATGTGAGTTCACTCGTGAGGTGAACCGTGTCGGACGGAATACCGTCACTACTTCGGACGATTCACAGCCATCCTACGGAGACGCTGGACCGGTAGCGTTAACTGAAACTCTGTATCCGCTGATTCATCTTCAGAGAGGTAACGAGTCGAGTTTACTACCGAGCGTACCGAGGAAAGCTGGGTTCGAATGGAGGGTGTCGTTCTGTTCAACACTTTCCCCTCACACACCATCTCCCTCCCTCTAAACTTCATCTTCCATCTTTAAATTCTTCTATCAAATAGAAATCACTCCAGATATTTTAGAAATGTCTGTGTAAAGTTCTCATCCACCGCCGTGTGGATAATCAAAATTGTACAGTCTGCTAAAACTAGCCATGTTGTTATTTTCCATATTTTGCCAATTAATGTAAATGTGTGATGTGTTAAACTTGATTCTGTTAATAAATGACCCACTGTCGTGGTGAGTCAAAGATAATTAACGTCTCACGTCCACATTTTATTACATTCAGTGCACGTTATATACAGTCCAGAAAAATGAAAGAATCCGTTTAATTGATGAATATATCTCACGTATATGTTCATCTACATACTGGTGGCCCGTATAAATTCATAAATGGACTGTGTATTCGTGTAAAATTGATATCATGTTGGCATGAAAAATTGCAGATTATGCTGTGAAAAAGTGCAGATTTTGCTGTGATGGAACGCAGCGCAGCTGGGACGCTTGGAGTAAACGCAGCGTGTTGAGCTGAAACAGAATTGTTAGCAGCTACTGGTGCTTTGAAAGCTGAAATTGTGAGTTAACGTGTCTGTTTGAAAGCTGAAATTGTACGTCTGTTTTGTGTGACAAATTTGCTGAGCTGTGGAAACGCTTTATTCTGTTTAAACTGTGTTCCAGACGCTGTTCTGGTCCGGTTCGGTTTCTGAAAAGTTCGACCGGGTTGTTTTAAATGGTGGGAAAGACGTTTTTAATGCCGGGGCGCCGACTCCGTGCAGCTCAGAGCTTGATTCGTTACATTTTTAGCAGAAAATGGTGCATTTCGACAGTTTAAAAGACGAAAGGTTGACGGACTTGTTCAGGCTAAATGCTAAACGCTAGCTGGAAAAACGATCTGTGATTGGTTGAAAACGACTGTGTGTAACGCTTTCATTGGCTGAGAGACGTGTCAGGTCGTAAAGCCCACCCCCGTGCTGCTCTGTCATTGGTAGATTCAGTCACGTGACCCGGAAATAAGTTCGGTTGCACCGAACCTTCTCTGTGCTTAAAATCTGCTTTTTAAAAGTTGAAAAACGCTTTAAAGTTGATTCTGATCCGCTGCTTAATTTCTTCACAGCCTAATCGCTGAAATTTTGCCACGTTTGAGTTTAAAATCCGTCATTAAATGATGTTTTTGAACAACGCTAGTGAGGCTAATTTTAAGCTAACAGCTAACGACCGGATGAGTGACGTGTCGCGTCACTTCCTCTGAAGTCAGATTGTAAAGCTTGGTTGCACCGAAGTTTTCTGTGCTTAAAATCACTAAATGAAGCTGCCACAAGTCCCCAAAAAACTCATGTTCATGCAAAGAAGTCGTGCTTGTTGAAACAACGCCACGTTTAGCTTTAAATCCGTTCAGAAATGTTGATTTTACCGAGTTTTAGCCAAAGCTAATTTTAAGCTAAGTGGCTAACAACAGGATGTCAACAGAACGTCAGGAAGTTGTCATAGACTCCTGCTGGTAGAAAGCTAACACCGCCACCTGCTGGGAAAGAGGAGTATAACGGTTTTCTGAAGAAAGACTGAAACTCCTCATAACATCTTTTCTTTTTCTGTTCACCACCTGGTTCTGTGTGTGACTGTTAAAATAGCGAATTTATGGGAGTAAACGGTTTAAAAAGCGTTTTTAAACTGATGATTGCTGTGAGACTTTTAGAAAAATTGCAGGTTTATAAAAATTCAGTGCTTTAGAGTAAAAAACACTCAGAGGCTTGGTAATCTAGTATCTGTTAAGAAATAAGCACGTTAAGTAACACTGCCAGAGAAGCATTTACTTAAGAATATTCATGAATTGGGGTAAAACCTACAAATAGGGGCCCACATTTGAATAAGTTGACTTATAACAGTACTTTTGTGTAAACCCAGAGCTAAAATAGTGTGGAACTCAATGACACTTGGATACATATATTTACCTGTAAAATATCTGAAGCTGGCAATTGTTTTACCCAGAAAAAGTGCTACACAGTGAATAAACATGACAGGTGTGGTAGAAAAAGACTTTGATCCTTATGAGATGAAGGGCTGTTTAGAGAATGCGTTAGCACTGCTGACAGCATCCTTACATCCATATGGCAAACAGGCGGACAGCATGAACCCAAAAGAGTTAGTGGACAATCTGATGGAGGTTGCAGAGAGTGTGACCTCTACAGAAATTACAATGTCAAGCTATGAAAAGCTGGCTAAAATGGCAATGTTGCTGAACGAATCTTACTTTGCATTAAGACGGGATCACGTCGTGACAGTGTCACAAGTTTCCCGCTGCAAAGGTGAAATAGATGTGCTTAAAACACAACTTAACGAATGCACACTGGTAAAACCGGGATTACTCCAATAATGTCTGCTTTTACAAAGTGAATGTCGGACATCACAGGAACGCCTGAAGGCTTGTGAGGAGAAACTGGCCGCAGCAACAAATAAAAGTTCTGACGTGGGGCGAGTTTGTCTGGAACTCAGAGAAGACCGTGGACAGAGTCCAGGTCACCCACAACCACCTCAGAAAGATGTTGTTGCACCTCCACATGTGTGGAGAGAAAAACCTCCAAAAGTCTATTACACACCTCTTGCTTTTAAGCCCATCCAACCACCCTCACCTAAAGTGGTAGGAACAGACCTGAACAGGTCTCCTCCACCAAACATGCAACAGTGTGCTGTGAATGTGTTCGAGGCATGTTCTCATGCTAAGACGCCCATAGAAGTGTTTCCTGGTATAAAGGTTAAACCCCACTCCCTAGAAATGGAAGGAAGGCGTGCGTCGCCACCTCCTCCTAAAACAGGCGAGAAAAAGCAGTATTTTCAAACTAACAAACCACGTAATGAAGGTGCACGCTGGGACAGAAAAGCTCCTCTTTCAGAGGATGAACGTGATTATCGTAAATGGGATATGCGTAGGACGCAAAGATATGGGATCCAAGAGGACCCATATTATCAGGGGAAATCCGAAGAGGAACCCCCAAAAGACGTACCTAACCCTCCCCCACCTCGGACGAAACGAACCGAGGCGATAAAATCACAAAGGTCCCAGGAACAAGGCCCTACACCTCTGAGCTCGGAGGAGACAGAGAAACTACAAAGGTTTGTAGAAACTTTGAAAAACGCTGAAATGGGAATCCAACCAGGAGCACAATGTAGTGATCTGATAGCTACTAAATCTGAAGGCGCGAATGACAACATTACAGATGTCGGTGAAACACACCAAGACATTGCTGTCGTTGCCTCCAACAACCCCTCATCGGATGAAGGGGGGGTAAACTCACACACAAACGATGATGAGTCATCACAAACTGAAAACTCAGAACCTGACTTTCATGATTTTGAACTAGGCATTCCAGTTCTGGGAGGACTCCCAGATAACCTGGTACCGAGTCAAGAAGCTGGGCCAGTATGTTTCACGAAACCATCACAGGCCATCGCTCTTTTCTCAACC